CCTATGTTGATCTGCAAGCTATCTAGAAGCTGGATGAGGGACAGTGGAATAATAGCAGACAAAAATCGGAATGGGAAAAATAAGAGAATATTTACTAATGCTTTTGATTTAATACATATAAGTGTATATTTTCTATTCTTATCATTGACGTCATTATTTGTACCAGGATTCTGACTTTTATTACTATTATTTTTTGCTCATCTGTCTTTATCAAATGCTGACAGCTGAACATGGACTATATAAAACTTCTTATTATCATTAAATAAATTCTAATGTTTTATGCAAGAAAAAAAGATTGATATAATTTCTAACATTTTTTCTTCATTTTCTCTTTCTTCTCTCTTATTTTCTTTTTCTTTTTGTTTCATCGCATTATACATTAAAGAAAACTTTTCATAGTTTCTTAAATTTGACATAATGACCTCGTAATGTCTGATTAATTCAAAATATTGATATTATTTACGGCGGATACCGAGTATTTCAGAAAGTGACATTGTGCTGTATGGTCTTGTTCAATTTTTCAAAATAATACCATAAATAATTGACAAATGTTTCAAAGGATGATGTCTTCTCAAAACTGTTTCCTGACTGAGAGAGTTTTCGCTGTTGTGCTTTATCATCAGTTAGTAAATAAGTTTTCATCATGAATCTGACATTATCCGATGCAGTGGCTATTAATGCTACAGGTACAAGTGATTTATTTGTATCTGTAGCAATGAAAGCATTTCCTCCTGAATTATTGAAGCAACGTTATTATCGTCCTTTTCGATAGGATTATCTTCTTTATGATTTTGTGCATCAGTAGCTGAGAAAATAGAAAGACGCTTCTATAACTATGAATTTTTCTGAATAAGATTGTATTCAAAATACTTCTAATTTCCGACAGTTTTTTTCTATACTTTTAGAATAAAACTTAGTCATCATGATGATCATCGTTACTTCTCGTAAGCATTTGTAGGTTGTTCGAACACTGACAGTGGAACTGTTGAGTGAGTCTTTTCCAACGAAATATTGTCATTTGATGAATCAGATTCTATAATGGTTTATCAATGATAGTATTGTCAATATCAGCAACGGTTATTTGTTTGACAAATTTTTGTTGTCTTCTTGTGGATTTCGATAGACGAAGAGGCAAAGCAGTTCGTTATATATTCATTATTAGGTGCTATTAAATTGTACACTTATGTTAAAGATGATACAGATCCTATTCTTCTGACTAATGATTCTGTTTCTTTATTGTGGTTGGTTTTTAAAAATTTTGAAATTTGTTGGTAGAGCAGTTGGAAATAAGTATTTGTAAATCGAATTCATAGCAGTTCTATATTTTAAAAATTTGTTTCTTTCACAAATCACACGTTAGAAAATTTCTTATTGATTGTTGACACATCACAAGTTAGTCGTGGTAGTGCTCAGTCTATAATTTCATATGTGTACCTCAGATTCTATACAACATGTTTGACTGAGAAGACCGTTCAACATGCCGTGCGTACTACATAGCTTTTAAATAGCATTTTAACTACACAATTTTCGAAGTTTTTTCTTTTCCTTCTAGAAAGTCGTTTATATATGAGTTGTATAACGTTTATTAGACTGCCTATGTTGATCTGCAAGCTATCTAGAAGCTGGATGAGGGACAGTGGAATAATAGCAGACAAAAATCGGAATGGGAAAAATAAGATCACCTGAAAACAGGAACATTAAACTACTATCCATGTCTAAACAAAATGTGTTCGATTGTTTTCGGTATAAGTCCCTCAAATAAAATGATCATATCTCACTCAAAATTCAACAAAACTACTTGAAGCTTTCGAAACATGATCAGATGAGTAGATTGAAGACCAAGAGCACCGGAAGATATTAAAAATTGTCCTTCTTTTCGCAATGGTTTTCTTCAAAATCCTTTTAAATTTTAAGTGTGAGAACATAAAGTAAGACATTTCGGATTTGCATATATTTGTAGGGGAAACGGAGAGTTGCTCAGGAGGATATTTGCTTGCGGACACTTGCTCGTATGACAACTTTCTCTCCCGGACTGATGCTGGGGAGGACTAGTGCTCGCTCAGATAGATTCTCATGGGATACTTGCTCATCGGGGAGATCAAATCGTTTAGAAAATATATTCAAACTAGTTAACATTTTTTATAAATGGGAATTTTTATAAAACATGTTCAAACTAATTTATATTTCTTAAATTTAGTAAATTTTATACATTGAGTGTTCGTAAAGGATATATTCTTCGACCAGTGTTGAGGATAGTATAAATTTCAAAGAATTATCAGCAATTTATCATTTTCACTGCTTCAAATATCTGTCACTATTTCTAAAGCGTCGAAAAACACTCCTTTACCGCTTTACAATGGTTTATCGTATATTGTGGATCGCAAAAATGACAAAATAATCTATTGTAAATGCGAATCTCAAAAATTTTATGTCATGCACGTCTTCATACAGATTTAAATAATTTAATAATAAAAACGGTCGGAATACGAGAATTACGTAAACAATCCATGTTCAGCATCAGTTCGGTAAGCAAGTGTCCGATGAGGATCTATCCTTGTAAGCACTAGTCCTAGACAGCATCAGTCCGGGAGAGCAAATATCCTCACGAGCAACTGTCCTAAAGGCATTTGTAGAATGAATGTCGCTGTATCTAAACATACTATGAACATGAAAAAATGACTGAAATTGCTCTAAATCGCAGTCTCTAGAATGTCGTTTGATGCGGTGCATCATTGTACATCTTGAGTTTTACTTTGATTTTTTCACAGGCAGATAGCCTCAAGTTTTTACCATAAAATGACAAGCGAATTTCTACCAATTTTCTGTTGTGAGTTATTTGAAAAACAATCGAGTACATTTTGTTTAGAAATGGTCAGTAGTTTAACGTAATTATGTTTATAATTAATTAATTTACTGATAAGTAATTATGTTTCCATTGGGAAAAAAGAATTCTAGGCCAAAAAGTGAAGATGTACTTTAGTTGATTATAACATGCAATATGTCGGCGAGTGCTCGTCTTTTCAGTAAGAGTGTTGTAAAAAAAGAAAGTATTAGAATACTTTCCTTTGACATTTAGACTATTTTAGAATAAAAGTTTTATTTGGTGGTATAAAACTTAATTTACTTCTACTTGTAGAAAAAAAACCCACTAGCTATAATTCAAAGAAAATCTTATCAGATTCAGTCATCGACAATGATGATGAAGAGGGCATTTTTTAAAAATATTACCAAAAACAAAGCTGTAGCGGATGTACTTGCATAAATAAGTAATTTTTTTCGAGTATTCTCAATCTATGTAACATCAGCTCTGTAGGATGTGCGCATCTTTTAGAGTACAATGATAGTTACAGTAAAAACTTCGAAAAGTTGCGAAATTTAGACAGTTTATTATTCAAGGTGTGTAAACGCATTGAAAACAGAAAATTTCGTGTGGTTCAAATACAGAAACAAAATATGACACATTAATTAGGCTGAATTAAGTTTAAAAGGAAAAGAAGCGTTACTAAATGAAAATCCAACTATACTATGAGTTATCAACATTCTTGTTGGGAGGATGACAGTTCATTCTACTGATTTTGGAACTAACAGGTGCTATGAAACGATACATAAAAAAAAATTTTTTCACTAATTAAAGAAGAATCACACAAAAAACAGTGAAGATGTTTTTCAAATAATTATAACGCACTTCTCTTCTATAAACAATGACAGATGTGGCTCTAAAGTAAAAAGAGAAAGTAAGAAATACTGATAAAAATAATAATATACTGAACTTGTAGATTTTCTACATTTTGTCAACTTCTGTAATAAATACAATATAAAAAAAAGAACTGATAAGGTGCACTAAACACGTACATTTATGTTTTCAAATGAATGAGAAACGTTTTAATTACCTGAACTGTTGGTAGACCACAAATTGATAATATTCTGTAAAAAAACAACAGAGTGTGTGTTTAAGATACGTTTTCCTATTCAAAGCGATCGAAAAATGCTAAAGAATGGTGTATTTTGTTCGTGAATTATTAATTGATCAAAAGAATCTTGTCTGTTTTCACTCGACCCAATTGATGGAGAAACTATTCATTTCTTTTTAGGGAGTTAAAAGGCAAGAAATCATAATGTATACAAAAAAAATACACTTCATTACCTAAATGTTAAAACGAAGTTTTAAAAGTTCATGTTTTTTGACATATATAGTTTAATTATTTTAAGTTAGTTCGTTCAAAACAGAAAAATATTGTGCATTTTGAACAGTATTCACGCGATAAATTAAATTTTTACACATTTTTTTATGTAGTTAAAGTTAAATACGTTTCTAGTCTATTAGTAAACGTATAGTTATTTGTACAAGTGCCCACTTTTTTTAATTAACAACAGTTACAGTATCGATTTTATGAACGAGACTTATTTTATTTTTGTTGATCTAACTGAAATAGTATATAAAAAATGAAATAATAATTATATAGTTTATACATAATTCGACGTATGTAAGTATTTTACACTCTTGGTAATCTATTGTTCATTGCTTTATAAACATCGTCTAGAAGAAGAAAAACAAGTACGAAAGATGATAAGTTTAAATAATTTCAATTTTACTTACCTAGCATAGATTGATGTATTGGATTTCGTTTTCCTTCCTCATCAACGACTTCCGTAATCCAATTTTTATTTGTAGTATTACCATACAACAAACTATCATTGTTAAATTGATTACCACCAAGTGATAAGTTTTCAAAATTTCCGGATATATAAGAAGGATCGGATACTGTCTGATATGCGTTGTTATAGTGTAATTCCTGAGATGGTTGTTGTTCATACATATAACGTTGAGAAGACGATAGTTCAGGCGGTAACATTTTTGTGATGTAACGAGATTGTGTATCAACCTGAGGTGCAATCGGTGGTTGTTCACGAATGATTATTGGTGGTGGAGTTTTTCCTCGGGGAGCTCGTGTACGAATAATAAGAGGTGGTGCGGGAGCAGGTGGAGGAGGGCGTACTTCTTTAATCACCAGCGGTCCGGGAGCCGGTGGTGTTGGAGGACGTACTGTATTAGCGAAAATAAAATCTTTTAAGATAAATGTTGATTCTATATTAAAATTTACTTACAGTAACGAACAATAATTTGCTGTTTATATGTCGGTTGTTCAATTGGCATTTGTTTTTTGATAACGATTGGATTTGGATCATAATTTATTTTATATTGATTTAACGGTAATTGTTGACCTTGTGTTATCGCTGGATCAAAATTTGATTGATGTAAACCGGCTGAATATAGTTCTTGTTCAGTCAGACCAAGTGAACGTAAATCAAAATTAGCATTGCCCGCTGTACCTACAGCGACAAATGCCCCAGTATCAGGATCCATTTTATTGATACCACTTGTATGTCCATTAGCTGTTATATACGATGGAAGATCGCTGTATGCAAGATTTGAATGCAGAGATGCGTCATCATAAACAGAATGCAGTCCATTTGGAATATGGGTTTCTCCATTAACATTTCCATTTGGATAAGATGAACCTTAAGAGATATGTATCAACATTTACGGTACCATAGAGATATATACCACTGATAGATATGATCTCTCATATGAAGAAGACTCTCAAATAATTTGAAAACTCTATACTTTACCATGATTATTTGAAAACATTTTTCGTAGGTTTTTTTTTTCTAACTTTGACGATTTAATACCGTGTTTAAAATGAGAAGTTTGATAGTACGTTGCTGTATTGAATAAAAAGGAGAAAAAGAGCTCAAAATGAGATAACAATAATTTATCAACTCGTTCATCTGTGACCAATCATGTTGTGTTCATAGATGTATTTTTATTTTTATACTCTCTTTTTGATCACATATAGCGGACATATAAGAGACAGCAGAACTTGAAAAATAGGTTACAAATTCTAAATACTGATGTAAGCTGCACGCACATACGCAAATACTCGTTTCTCTAAACTTGATGGATAAAAAACTGATTGTGTAAAAAGACGAAAACAGTTAGAGTCAGACAGGTAGATGTAAAAAAAAGTGTCATACGCTCGCAGATTATACATTTCTTCCTTGTGTATCTTGTGTATGATTGATCGAATTATATGTTTTTGAACTGTATTTTTCAACTTGACGAAAGAACGAAAGTAGCTAGCTAACTTATTGAACCAAAAGTAAAAAGAGAACGATAGCTTAGACCGTTTCAAAAAACCATTACATAAAACTAATTCCTAACGTTTATTTTATAAAAATAACTTAAATATTAAAGCATATAGAGAAAACAAAAATATTGAAATGATAAAATTCGTAATCAGATTAAATATGTTCATGAAATGATTGATCTGGACCATATTGGTCACAAAAAGATATTAAGTCACGTCCAAAAGCGATCATTCGTTCTTCATTCTAAGACAAAATTTTGACTAAATAAATTTTTAAATTAGCATATCGTTCGTTGTCGACTTACATCTATCATCATATTTGGATTAGTTAAAACTGGTACCATTCGATATTGATAATGAACTAAATTCTCACATCCTATAAATTTTAAATTAATCCTTTATTAAAAATAAATGAATACTTTTAGAGATCTAACCATACCTAATCTTGTCATTGTTGAGATTTCAAACATATAAATCGCTTGAATAACATCTGATTCAATTGCTTCATTATGTAAATTACATTTTGCTACACTTTCACACAATTGTGTTCTAAAAATAAGAAGAGTATTTTTCAAAAAAATTCGTTATTTTTATTCAAACAATCAAATACTCACAATACTTCCGTCGTTGTTGCTGGTAATTCTGTTGTTGACCATAATGTTCGACCAGTACGTCGACACGCACAAAAATATTTTTTCAATAATATTTCTGCTTCTTCTGAAACGTACATTTCCATCATACGAATATGATTCAGAAACTAAAATAAATTAATAAAATTGATAAATCATTTTTCATCTATATTCACATCTTATAATATACACCATTTTTAAATTATCAATCAATTCGACTATTTCTTTATCAAACTGTTTATCTTTATCACAATTTTCAAGCTTTTCTTCCAAATAATTATCTATTATATTTTCTAAATAGAATTAGAAGAATAGAAATTTCTAATATATAAACAATGTAAAAAAAGAAAAAATACATACCGTAATCTTGTTCTATCTCATCAATAGGTAATACCAAACTAAATGCACTAGAAATCAAATAGAATTATTGTACAAGTAGTATGATTTGATATATATATTTACTAACGTTGCAATTGCTGGCGGTATGTCATTTGTTGGTGTTGATAGTTTTTCAGAACTAAGCCATAATCGACTATCATGATAAGCCCAAATATTAGTACGTAATGGAATTGAATAAACAAACTTTTTTGCTTGTTCACTTTTATTCACTTCAATTGTTAATGTTTCACTTTCTAATGCTTAGAAAAATAAAAATAATCAAACGTTATTATGAATTAAACACGATTTTAGAACAAAATGACATAAACAAAAATTCTTCGAACCTGCAAGTAATTGTTTCAATTGAGGTTTTGTTAATTTATCTAAACTATTCAAATATGTAATACCATCACTTCCCAGTGCTATTGAACCGGCTAAATGAGAAGAAAAGAAAATCAATACAAATGACAGATGATATGTAGATGTACCAGAAACAATAAATGGTGATTTTATCTTTTTTGATAACGGTGCTAATATCAATGGAAATTGTGTATGATGTTCAACACTGTAGTGTGCATATTTCAAGGCTGTCTGTAATAAAATATCACCAATTCGACTTTCACTACCAACAGCTAATATATGTAATTTAGATGATACAAGACTAAGCAATAAACCAGTTTTTAAATGTGTACAATGATGAGCTAATTGAATATGAGCTAAAAAAAAGAAGAACAAAAAGAGAGAGTGATTTAGAAGTAAAAAATGAAATGAACATACGACAAAATAAACTAGTTAATATATTTATGAAACTATAAGGATAATGAGGTATAAAATTATTATGTAACGATAAAACAGAATTTGGTACTGTTGATCGCGAATAACTTTGATTTGGATCGATCTCCTCACATTGAACGGCCTAGAATAAATCGATAAAAATAAATTAATAAGAAAATTTCAAAAATATGCCATCTTTACATTACTTCAAAAAAAACATTTTCATCATTATTATTAGATATTGAATAACAAATACATTCATACTTGGCACCAATACGTATATTTTGAGCAAAGTCATCTAAAACGAAGACATTTTATTTTGTACAATATGTTATATGAAGATACACTATCTTAAAACTTCGAAATCAGTAAATCTATGTCAGAGTTTGCCTCTGAGATTGTTGGTGACGCTTCAGCTTGGTACGAACTTCTAATAATAATGGTATGTCTTCTTGTCATTAGTGTGTCTGCTTCCAAATGATTCAAAGCTAATAATGATTGTACTGGATCATGAATTTCGAGTAAAACAAGAGTTTTTTCTTAAGAAAAGAAAAGAGGAAACTTTAATATGTGTCTACGTTCTCACACTAGCTTACTCACCTGACATCCAACGTTCATTAACTACTTCAGTAAGAATACAATCACAGCCTTTACAAAGTATTTCTCTAAAAAACAAGAAATTTTACTGATAATGTTCAGTTTTATTTATTAACAACCAAATAGATACCTTTCATTATCTTCGTCAAACGGTTTGATGTCATACAAATCATACTGTGATCTGTTACGATTATTCAATTGACAAAATACACTTTTACAAATATATTTCATTCCACGTCTAAAAAAGAGTAATATTATGATGATTGATCTGCACGAAACAAACTTTTCTACACGTACGTATAGGGAAGAACTGGACTTGAAGCAATAATCGTACCACATACACGGACTAAATTTGTCCGAGATAATAAATGAGATTTTCTATCATTTGATTCAACATGATACCTAAAAAATTAAAAGTTTACAAATACAATGTTATCTAAGAACACATTTGTACTCTTACTCTCGATATTTTGGCAGATCATCGTATAAAAAACGAACAGCAATTTGATTTACATCTTGACATAACGTACAAACATGACCAAATATTATCTAGATACATTCCATACTCCAAAGTTTTTTTTATTATTATACAAGTTCAGTTTGTACGAACCTCTCGAGCGAAATTTAAGGCTTTTTTGTGATGATGTAGCACGAAATCAACTAGTAAATCTAAAAAAGCGAAATACAAACAACTCATTTTGTACTGATATTTTCCAATAAAGGAAGACGAAAAGTCACGTATTAAATACTTTCAATAAAAAAAATTTTATACAGCTCATTGCAGACTGATAAAACGTTAAAAACACCTATTAGATAGATGAAGCAGAGTTTAGGACCCATCTTTTGCAATGAATCTAATTAGTTACTGATCTGAAGTCAAGTTTTATCACTAATGTCCATGTTTACGAATGGAATTGCTAAGGTAGAATTCATTTCTTCTTCAACTTACTTGACATATTGTAACACCTTTGTAGTCGGATTGGAATTGTAAACGGATAGAAAAGTGCCTGAACACAAAACAAGTAAAAGATGCAAGTCAAAATCATCATCGTTCCTCAGCTTGCATGGTAAAAGATGACACTCGAAAAGAATCGTCTCGGACATTTTTTGAATAAATTTTTAAAGAAAAATTGATCACTATTGTATAGCCGATACTCACACACATACAGGACACCAGTTTTTCCAGAATCTCCAGATGAGTTCTGGAAACTTGGAAAATAACTGGAAACATAAATTTTCGATTATTCTACGCCTTATGTTAATGTTGGTTTTCGAATGAAAACACGAAAGGCGAGTGAAAATCTGTTTTGAGAAAAAATAAGCCATTTCAGGCTATTTATCTGCTAGAATAAAAAACGTACATTTTGCTAGAATCTCATGACTTCTGTATAAAGCGGCCGTGCAAATCAAAAACTAATGCTATCTAAGAACGTAGAGAAGTGTTGAAGCTTGAATTTCTGTAGATATGTAGCAAACAGTCTTTGTGGTTCGAATTCATTCACTGAAAGTAAAAATTCACCACATCTTCTTTGCAATTGCAAGTTATTCTTTCAAAGGAATGATGAAACTCGTCACGCAAAGGCGGCTGAGCTTAAGACTTGAGTTTTCTACACGGTAATGAAATTAAGTATTAGCTACACCATAATGATAGATTTTTCTTTTAAAAATTTTGTCAAAAAATATTTGAGACTGTTCTTTTTTGAAATAGATAGTGTTTCCTAGGACAACTTTTCGCTTATGTATTTGCTAAGATATGAAACTTGACCTAGGATCAATTCAGTTCGGTAACTTCAAAAAAAAGGACAACGAGAAATAGAACAAGTGGAAAAATACATACTGTTGAATTTGTTATTGTATCCACTAAATGTTGTAGTGTTTCATCTGTCACTTCTTTCTCAAGATATTTTCTTAAATATCTTTTAGCAGATCGCTCTCGCATATGTACTAAACGCGTTTGACTAAACGATGCCATTTTTTTATTCACAAAAATTCGATGTTGACTCGTTTACGTTTTATACCAGAGATATGAAAATTCTATACGGATGAATCTTTGTCTGAGTTTCGAGGAGACGACGAACAACAAAGTTTTTCTTTGCACGTGTTTACTCAGCCAATACAACTGGACGAGTTATAGTCTACTGTTTTCTTTTTGGGCAAACTCCCTCCTCAGAAATACGAAATTTTATATTAGAAACATTAATGTTAACAACTTCAGAACGCTGTTGTTGATCACAACGAAGATGTCTGAAGGTTTTAACACGATTCTTCAGAAGCTCCGAAAACCTGATTTTTCAAAAACACTGAGAGGCGTCTCACAGATTTCAGCTATATTTGGATCAAAAGTTATAATACTTCTACAGAAAGCCGTAAGATGTATATATCATGAATACACCTGAGTGATTTTTTATATAGGTTTTACTTTATTTTACAGCTCAAGATTCATAAGAATCTACAAAGGCTTTTCGGAAGCCTTCAATAGTCTTTGCTTTAAAACTGAACAAATTTGAAAAAGTTGCTCTGCCCATACCTACATGTAGGCGTTTAGTAATTATCAAAACAATTTCTAAATCCCCGCTTCATAGTTTAAGTTTCGCGGAGAAACAGCTGTCATTATACCTAGGAATTTGTCGACAATTCAGAAAAAGTTAGACACATAAAGCAAACATTTTCACCATAACATATGGTGCAAAAGTATTAGCGTAAATATAAAATCCGAAGGTAACGCAGTAGGAAGAAGATACGACAGGATGAAGTAAAGAACTGCTGCAAACATTTTTATTTCATTTTATTTTATAAATTCTAACAGAATCAGTATAAAACAAAATCAGGTGCAAGACTTTCAGCCTATTCTTAGGTCATCATCAGGCAACAGTGAGAAAATTGTCTTTTATTTTTCTCGGTTTGTACATTGTATCAAGAGCAATTTCAAATGTCAATTAATGCGACACGGAAAAAGCCTTAACGAATATTAAGGCAAGCATTAACGTAGGTTCATAACGCAAATATTTCGACGATCACGGCGCTTGTTTTCGGTTGCAACCAGGATCGACACATCGTCCCTAAGATAAGAGGTTTTGAATTCGTTTCATTTTTATTTCATTTTCAGTTTAGAAAAGCAACAAGCCACTGCCGTCCCCTACCTTCTCTGGCATTTTGTATTCATCTTTATACTCAACATTAGTAACAACATATGATTTATATGACATTCATTTAATGCATAAACATTAACATTGTTAATTATTACCATTACTTCTGCTGCATTCCGTATGCCCGCATCGGCCTAGTCCAGTGCATCAGACGACTTGCAACTTTCTACTAAGTTAACTATCATCACTGTGCGAACACACCTTATTCAGGCTGAGTGGTGCCCGTTTCCGATATTCCAGCGCGACCGATATTTCCGGCATTATAGTACATGTCAATTAGCTAAACGTTGTGACATCTAACACGCTGTTTTACCCCTCCCCCCCTTTTTCTTGTATTTATTTTACGCTTGTCGGTACTTTCAATAGCCTTATTAACTGGTACGTTGGTGTATAATGATTCTACATTGAAATTATATAATAACTGATTCTTATTGAATATTACATTTCTGATCAAATTAACAAAGTCACAATTTTCTCACTGTTGCCTGGGATGACCTAAGAATAGGCTGAAAGTGTTGCATCTGATTTTGTTTTATATTGATTCTGTTAGAATTTATAAAATAAAATGAAATAAAAATGTTTACAGCAGTTCTTTACTTCATCCTATCGTAATGGTGTAAATGTCGAGCATTATTTTTTCATGTTCCCGATGTGTTGGAGAGTTAATTATTTTTCCGTTGGAAAGAGCAAAGTCTGAACTTCGTAAAACATATAGAATAAAATTTTTTCCTGATTAAGTTTGAGTGAGAAAAAATCTAAATAGCAAACGTCGCCAAAAAAGCTCTTGCAACGTTCGCTCTCTTCAAACGTGTTTCTCTCATCAAGGATTTTTTTTCCCTATAAGAGAATATGTCTGAAATTATGTAATTGTAGAAACTAGAAGTGTTTTTATCGCTCTTTCAAATGGAGGATAATAAATTATCTTTCGGTCCACTTTTCAACCAGAAATTCGCAATTTTTTCATTATTTTCAGACACAGTTAATTAAATTTAATTAATAATTTTTAGATACTGAACCAAATTCTTCCTTTTGCTAAAAAGCATTTTCTGAAAGAGCATTCAATTCTCTGCAAATTCACATTATTTAAAATCTTTACTAAATATATTTTGAGACATGAATAAAGAAATTTTCTCGATGTGTCAATTTCCCCCGCAAAGTGGTGTTTTTCTACTAAAAGTGAGTTTTTTAATACGTTTTTTTTACTATTAAGAAATTATTAAGGCATAGTCCTATGTAAGGAACTTTTAGAAAACAGAAGGATCGATAGAGTTTTGCACAAACTACATTCTCATCTATTTCGTTTTTAAAGCTTTTCTTCTTAGGTTAAAGTGAAAAGAATAATAAGAAAAAAGTACGTTGCAAGGTCTTTTTGAGGTCAATCGACAGAATATTGTTGTACTGTGCAAATTAGATAAATAAAAAGTTATTTGCCAGACAAATTTGTTCTCTAGACTTTGCTTTTTCAAATAAGACAAACTTCAAAGTGATCCATCACTGAGAAATACTGCATGACATTTACACCATTACTTTTGCACCATATGTTAGTCATATCTTATCATAATTCACATCTTCTGAACAATTTACTAATATCCGATGTAGTACGGTGAAAAAATATATTCGAAGAGAAGTCTTAAACAACTCGACATCCGCGCATATCCTGATGATTGTGAATCTTCCGTGATCGCGTGCAATATGGGAAGGAGAAACGAGAGAACAATTTTCCACATAAAAAACTTTATCGTTTTTCACGAGATTTTCAGAAGAGGATAATATTCGATAAAATATTATAAATGCCGATATAAAAAATGTGTCAAAATTCATAATTAAGTATTTTATTAATTTTTCTGTTGAATTTTTGACTTTCTTTATCTATTTCTAACAAAAATATGATGAACATTTAAATATAAAATCATCCCGTTTGCTTCATTCCATTAAGACGGAAATAAGAAGTTGCATACAGAATAGAACGTGCAGTCTGGTGTAAATCCTCTCTTTCAATTTCCAAAAACTTCATCAGATATCTCGCCGCTCGAACATGGCAATTAAAAAATTTATCATCAGTCAATTCTTTAAAACTATTTATTATCTTAGTGTGTTAATTTATTTATCATATATAAAATACATATTACTTAACAATATCCAAAGTATATAGTAGAAATAGACGTATAAACTTCAGACCATAAAGATCAATTATACAAGTAAACGCGCAGACGACTATAAAAAAGAATGTATGAAAAATGATTGCACAAAGTGATAGAAAAATAACTATAAAGTTCAGTTCAGTCATGCTCATCTGGTCCAACATGTAATTTAGATGTTGATATAACTTTGTTTCTCACAAATATATTTTCCACTAATTCCACCAACGAAACTGCTGTATTTGAAACAGTGTCATTGATGGTGTCAGTTTTATTCATCACCTATTATTAAAAAATAAACAATTGTCCAGTATGAATATGAGCATCGTATAAATTGCTTACTTCTGCTTTAACATCTTGATAACATATTGGATGATATGTTTTTCCATCGACTCGAACTGCATCTCTCAAATGCCATTCATCGCGGTTATCATTGAAAAAGTTTTGAAACTGATCACCACATACACAGCATCGCTAAAAAACATAATAACTTTTCTCATAAAAATTGCGGAAAAGAACATCTTCCAACTTACATCTTCATCGTTATTAGCTGCACAGGATAAAACTTTCTGTTGTAATATTAGTGAATCATCAAAAAAAAGATCATCCATTCCATCATTAGTATTTGTAACTATCATCTCCTTTTCCTCAATTGTTTCCTCATATTCTGTCCATTCTTGTAATGTACAATACCAATCTCGACTGCGCTGCAACAACAGTGACGACGACGATGTTCCTAGCTCTTTTTCTTGACGATTTTCACGATAATGCCAATCGAGATGATGCGTGTACAATAGCTTTTGTTTCGATGTATACCGCAATCCACACAGACGACATTGAAACACGCCTAAATACAATTGTTGAACAATACCAACGTATTTTCTAAAAACAAAAGACCATTGTATTAACATCGAGCAAACAGCAGCGTCGTTTCGTCAACGGTAGTTCTACTTACTTCTTCAACATTGTTACATTCGCCTCCGTTAAATCAGGCACTGGCGCATAATTATCTTCATCAAACTTTGCACTCGACTTCATTCGTTTTCTATCGCCATTTTCATCATCAAAACCTTGATCATCGTCATGCGAACGTTTCGGACTCTGTCTCGATCCCCTGTCTCGTCTGCTGTTGTCGTCGTTGTTACTGAACAACAAGGTGGTGTCGTCCGGCGTCAACAAACCCGATCGCAGCAGATTCAGAAACATCTCGATTTCTTGAATGTTCAACGTCTGCTGTCTCGAACTGAACAGTTGCACGAGCGCTGTCAATGCACCCACGCCACCTTTCGTATCCAAAAACGGCAGCTCATCGAGGATTTTGACTTCAGGTGGTTGACCGTGTATCGATATGGAGTGAGGTCGACCACCGATGTATATCTCTCGTGGCAACTGATCGAAATGAATCTCGTACGGATGTCCATCGATTATCACCTCGAATCCTGGACCACCCCAAGCTATTTCGTGTGCACGTTTACCGAGATGAATTCGAGTCGAACAACTATCGAACGGAACACGATGAGCGACATTGTCCACGTAGATCTCGCGTGGTGGACCCGTAAAGCGAATACCGAAAAATTTTCCATCAATTTCGATGCACGGAAACTTCAGATCGTAACGCATCGTCTTCGGCTGACTATCGATCATGATCGTTTTCGGTGGCGGTGTAAAACGAATCTCGTGCTGCGTCGTCGAATTATCTTGATGCGTCACTTGTATTAGACGAGGTTGATCGTCGAGATTCGCCACATATCGATCGTTGATGTAAATTTCATTCTTACTGCTATCGATTTGAATTCGGATGTGGCGATTGTTCATGTTCAAATATTTTGGCGGTGTGTCAGTTCGCAACTCGTACGGATACGAATCGAGCCAAACATCGACTTGTCGACCCATGTACATCATCAATATGTCACGACCACCACTATCTGGCAGTTTGACTCGACGCTCCTTATCACCCATTGTAAACACGTGTTTGTTATTGATGCGGATTTGTTTCGAAGGCAAATCACAGTAGAAATCATACTTCTGTCCATACAACGTAATACAATGAGAATGGTTCAGACGAACGCCGTACGTCTTCCCGTCAATTTCTATGATACTCTCTTTTGGATCATGTGACAAACCTACAAGAACGGATGAAAACAATACTGAATTCTAGAGAAAGCACTTTTTTTACGTACGAGTTGTAATTGGTGGTAAATTAGATCTCAAACGTTCCAGTTCACGCTGATGGATATGATCGAAAAATGTTTGCAAACGCTTGACAATGACTGGATCGTTCTGAAACAATTGGTGAATTGTGGCATCGAGCGAAGGCGACGTGGTTTGTACTGTTGATGCTAGTGGCAGAATACCCGAAGATGGTATTTGATGTTTTTCTCCATCGGATTTCGTAGACACATCACTTGACGTTAACAAAATAGTTTTAGTGTTAATTGCTTGATCCAGTATCACAGTAGACTGTGGTGGAAGAAACGTTTGTTCCGCTTGAGGAAATGGTGTGGCGACTTGTTGAGGAGGTAATGATGGCAATAAAATAGAAGGTGGTAGTAAGAACGTATTTGGATGAAGAAGTGGTGAAAACGGATTATGTATCAAATCATTGAATTTGTTAATTAGAGTTTGTTCTTGAAGAGCAGCATTGGTTGTATTCAGTCTTCCCATAGCGTGATATCCAATAGCGTTATCGTACACTATCAAATCATTCCGTAGTACTTCTGTATTTTTATTTGGCGTTGTTGGTGATGAATGTTGTTTAAAATGACGGTAATCACGATCTGTGTGACCAAATAATTCCCTGGAAAAGAGAAGTTGAGTTGATATAATATAATACTTTTTCGTATCGAGGTACTTATCGTGAAATAGCAAAGATAAGTGAAAAACTTTTTTAAAAACCGATGTTAGAGTAAAGTACTGCACGGCCTGATTAGTTGAAATCGAACCTTAAGTTTTTCGGACCAAGAACCGTTCTGATTATGGTGTTTTTCTGATGTCATTCTGATAGTAATCGAACTTTCAATATCATTCAACAATCATAGCCTTTTCCTCAGTATTAAATATCGAAAGTAAACTTACATTACATCCATTGTTGCACTATCACTTGTACTATCAGCAATACTGACAGTTATGTTACTTGTTTTTTGTTGTGGAACAGTATTTGCCTCATCACCATCTTCTTCTTCTATAACATCAATACCTTGATTTAATAAATCAGTTTGAGATAATGCTGATATATGTCGTTTACGTTTTTTCTTCATTGTTATTTGTGCACTGTTCAATAAATGAGCTGCTTTTTTACGCATTTCTTGCATCTGTCCATCGAAAAGTGAATGATGTGTTGCACTATTTTCTTGACCATTTATTGTGGATGCTACCAGTGCTTCAGATTTATGCACTGGTGATTGAATAAAATTGTCCTGTTTAAAAAATCAGAGAAAACAAAAATAAGCGGGTAACACATACAAAAATTTTTATATTGAACATACCGATTGTTCGCTAACTTTTACTGTAATTGGCCATGCTGGATCGATTTTTTTAATTTCTCTATCAAGTTGATTTAATGTTGAACTGGAAAAAAATGGTGTCCATGTTTTACGTAATTTATACATAGCCGCTCGAGTTTGTTCATCAGTCTGAAGAAAAATAGATCTTATTAATTAGTTATTTTATCTTTCTCTTCATATTTTATAATATATACCTTTGTGAATACATTTGCAAATACAAATGGCAATCTTGTTTGAAATAATTCAATGTATTCAGATGACAAGAGATTTTTAACAATTGAATCAAGAACATATAGTGCTGGTAATTTTTGATTAAATGGGGCCTAAAATTATAAAAATATTTCTAGATATGCTCTCGTTATCAGTAATACCAACCTCTATTATTCTTTCCTCAATCGCTCGTACTATATATGGAGCATTTTTAATTTTTGTTTCAGCTAATTTTGTCAGATTTGTAATCAATGGTTTACTATTTTGTTTTAAATCATCTAATGCATGCTTATAAGCATTATAATCAATAACCCAGGACATTTTTACACATAGATATGTATATATATATATAAAACAAGAAAAAGAAACGTTGAAATGCAGAAGTTGAGCTATACTTTTACTTATTAGAAAATTTAGACAATAAAATTAAAACATCTTGATCCTCATATTATTATTTCGTAGGTACGATAAACTATACTCTAATCAAATGTGTCTTGAGCCTATCCACTTTACGAACATAAAAAGATTATTCCAAGAATAAAATTAAACCTGTTGCTTGAAAATTTCTACCGAAAGTCTAGAACTATGAATTTTTCAATATCTTATATTATTAAAAACAAAAAAGTAAGGATTGAATAAGATTCGTTGTTTGCTTATAAATGTATTTCAGATAATAATAAACTTTTTTAAAACAACAAGAAAGGACATACTACTTATCAATTCGATAGTACTTGATAACAAACATTCAACAAGATTTTTTTTAAAATTTTGATGATATATGTTTTATTATAATTTAACATACTACCAAAAATATATAGATCATAGTTATATGATATTTGGCAGTAATAACCTACCTGCTTATGAGAAGAACTGATACAATATATGTAAGATCTAGCAATAAGAATCAATGTTAGAGAATAACAATATGTGTGTATTTCAAACTTATTCGCAATTTGAGTGAGATTGAAATTTGAAATAATGACGAAGTATTATTTAAGCAAGATAATTGATATCGAAAACATTTATTTCAAAATGACAATATTCAGGTGTATCAATAGATGTTAACTGACTGAATGTTAATGCTGATTGAAATGTATTGTTATGATCCGACATGAAGGCTCTTTTTGACTTCCAATATCAGATGAATTTTCACAACATTTGAACTTTGATTCAAACAACAGTTTTAATTTTTCATCTAAAGGCTTGCCAATTCCAGTTGTTGTTTTCAAATATCTCACATGTTTTATGATAACAAGTGTGCATTTAAATCGTTGTATTGATTTAAAATAGAGATGAATGTTTAAATTTCATATATACGTGCTTATACAAGTTATTTAGAGTTTACTACACATATTTTTTGTACATGTACAAAGAAATAGAGACAGACGAGAAACAAATCAAAATAAGAAACCGAAACAAATTGATAAAAAATACAAAATCAAAGGATAGTGATGTTCTTGAAGTATAAACAGAGAGACACACACACACACACACAGACATAGACAAAAATATACAAAAAGCAAAGAAATAAATTCATCTATCTTGTGTAATAATAACCGCATAAACAAATAAATCAAAAACTAAAGTAACCACAAAAAAAAAGCAAAAAATATAATTCTTTTTTATCCAGTTGATACAGATTCAATTTTGACTGTTTGAGCTTTTACATCAATTATTTCAGTTTCAAGTTTTATATCTGTTGTCAAAGAAGACATATCACTATTCATTGACGATATTATTTTATCTTCATTCACTTCATTAAATGAATTATTTTCAGAGTTTATTGTTGGAGTTACGGGTGGCGGAGATTTGCTGATTAAATCTTCTTTTTTTATAAAAATATTTTCGACTAATTCAACAAATGACATTGAAGATATATAAGTATTCGTCTTATTTACATCAGAAGAAGATAGTGATGTAGGTGTGGATGGCACAGGTTCTATGGAAGTAATTGTCGTGCTATCGCTGTTGTTATTAATATTCATAGGCGTAATATTATTGCTCGTAATCTAGACAAAAGAAAATAAATACATTTTTATATTTACTAAATTTGAATCTTGTTGATTAGCGCTAAAACGTTTTCTGAACTATGTACAACACACATAGCTTAGTGAACAAGGTTCACATATCAGTCAACATTTAAAATACGTATATAGGAATTATAAAACCGTTATTAAACAATCGCTTACTTCTGCTTTAACATCTTGATAACATATTGGATGATATGTTTTTCCATCGACTCGAATTGCATCTCTCAAATGCCATTCATCGCGGTTATCATCGAAAAAGTTTTGAAATTGATCACCACATACACAGCATCGCTAAATTTTAAAAAGAAATAAAATAATGATAATTATGAAATGATATCAATCTTTTTGATCTCCAAAAAAAGATAGTTTTGGTCATCATTTTTTCACCGAAGATTGAATTGATGCTGGGAGATTGGTTAAAGCATTGGGAAATCAATACTGTTACGATCAACCACCACCGGAGTGGTTAGATATCTATCATTCTCACCAGTAGTTTAGTCTCATTATAAAACAAGAGCAAGTAACCTGTTGCTTTGTGCTATATGCAAAGAGTGAGAAACTTTGAACGGAACTCGTTCCTATTTATGAATCCAGTTGGGTATTCTATAATTCAATAATAAAGAAAACATTCATTTCCTTACATCGTCTTGACCACTTGCAGCTGGGCATGAAACGCTGCCGCCACCATTATTCAGTCCCAATAATGCGTCATTAGTAATACTCGCAGTAGTGCCATTCGTAAGAAAACTAATATCCAGTGTATTTATACTATCAGTACCCATGGCATTTTGATTCTGATTTAATCCTAATAAATTTTCATTTCGTAAGTCCTTTTCCTCAATTGTTTCCTCATATTCTGTCCATTCTTGTAATGTACAATACCAATCTCGACTGCGCTGCAACAACAGTGACGACGACGATGTTCCTAGCTCTTTTTCTTGACGATTTTCACGATAATGCCAATCGAGATGATGCGTGTACAATAGCTTTTGTTTCGATGTATACCGCAATCCACACAGACGACATTGAAACACGCCTAAATACAATTGTTGAACAATACCAACGTATTTTCTAAAAACAAAAGACCATTGTATTAACATCGAGCAAACAGCAGCGTCGTTTCGTCAACGGTAGTTCTACTTACTTCTTCAACATTGTTACATTCGCCTCCGTTAAATCAGGCACTGGCGCATAATTATCTTCATCAAACTTTGCACTCGACTTCATTCGTTTTCTATCGCCATTTTCATCATCAAAACCTTGATCATCGTCATGCGAACGTTTCGGACTCTGTCTCGATCCCCTGTCTCGTCTGCTGTTGTCGTCGTTGTTACTGAACAACAAGGTGGTGTCGTCCGGCGTCAACAAACCCGATCGCAGCAGATTCAGAAACATCTCGATTTCTTGAATGTTCAACGTCTGCTGTCTCGAACTGAACAGTTGCACGAGCGCTGTCAATGCACCCACGCCACCTTTCGTATCCAAAAACGGCAGCTCATCGAGGATTTTGACTTCAGGTGGTTGACCGTGTATCGATATGGAGTGAGGTCGACCACCGATGTATATCTCTCGTGGCAACTGATCGAAATGAATCTCGTACGGATGTCCATCGATTATCACCTCGAATCCTGGACCACCCCAAGCTATTTCGTGTGCACGTTTACCGAGATGAATTCGAGTCGAACAACTATCGAACGGAACACGATGAGCGACATTGTCCACGTAGATCTCGCGTGGTGGACCCGTAAAGCGAATACCGAAAAATTTTCCATCAATTTCGATGCACGGAAACTTCAGATCGTAACGCATCGTCTTCGGCTGACTATCGATCATGATCGTTTTCGGTGGCGGTGTAAAACGAATCTCGTGCTGCGTCGTCGAATTATCTTGATGCGTCACTTGTATTAGACGAGGTTGATCGTCGAGATTCGCCACATATCGATCGTTGATGTAAATTTCATTCTTACTGCTATCGATTTGAATTCGGATGTGGCGATTGTTCATGTTCAAATATTTTGGCGGTGTGTCAGTTCGCAACTCGTACGGATACGAATCGAGCCAAACATCGACTTGTCGACCCATGTACATCATCAATATGTCACGACCACCACTATCTGGCAGTTTGACTCGACGCTCCTTATCACCCATTGTAAACACGTGTTTGTTATTGATGCGGATTTGTTTCGAAGGCAAATCACAGTAGAAATCATACTTCTGTCCATACAACGTAATACAATGAGAATGGTTCAGACGAACGCCGTACGTCTTCCCGTCAATTTCTATGATACTCTCTTTTGGATCATGTGACAAACCTACAAGAACGGATGAAAACAATACTGAATTCTAGAGAAAGCACTTTTTTTACGTACGAGTTGTAATTGGTGGTAAATTAGATCTCAAACGTTCCAGTTCACGCTGATGGATATGATCGAAAAATGTTTGCAAACGCTTGACAATGACTGGATCGTTCTGAAACAATTGGTGAATTGTGGCATCGAGCGAAGGCGACGTGGTTTGTACTGTTGATGCTAGTGGCAGAATACCCGAAGATGGTATTTGAATAGGATTTGTAGGATTTGTTAGGGGAGCACTGGTTGATGGTACTTTTGCGAAAGTAGCAACTGCTGATGCTATTATACTGGCGGGTGTTTGAATTACTGGTGCTATGGTTGTTTGTGGCCAAGGAGGTATTGTTGAGTTTAATGGGGGAGGAGGAGGACCAACGAACTGTTGGTGTTGTTGGGTTAACGAGGCCAATGTTGCAGCGATTTGGGGAGGAATTATTGGGGGTAATGAAGGAGCCAGTGGTTGTTGCTGTTGTTGTTGATGAAATGCTGGATGCATGGACGTAGTAAATATATTGTGTGAGAAGGGGTTTAATCCTGTTGATATTATGTGTGAATTCATTGGTCCAGCTGAATTTAATATTTGCATTACATGCATTCGAATGTCATCGGAGATAAGTGGATAGTTTGGGCCAAATATGGAAGGAGTTACACCACCCGGTATGTGCATTGGCAGTATGGGTATTTGTGCAGGTAAAATATGACCTGATTGATGGAGATGTTGCGATGCTATGGGATGATGATTGGCTAGAATGTGATTTGGCGTATTACTAAAAGAAAAATGAAAATGAGAAGTTAAATGGTAAGTTGAAATAGTGACTAGTTAGCTATTGTTTAAAGCGTGGGTTTGAAGCTAACAATACTTACTCTTCTGTTGTTAATCTTTTCACTTCAATCTCTAATATTTGTTTTAAAACCTCTAATGTTCCTTGATATTCTTTTAATGACATTTCTTTTGCTTTATATTTTTGTTCAGCTAATAATAAACGTTTAGCATTCATTTCATACACAAGTTGAGCATCTATTGGATTTGCTATTGATTTCTGCTGTTTAGTTGAATCACGATAGTCAATATCTTTACCGCCGAATAATTCTTCTCTACAATCAGCGGATATATTAGCAAAGCACCAGATAACTAATATTCTATACTTACAACTCATGGTCTATTCCACCACTAGTACTATCAGCCGGTCTCACCGTTGTTACACGTACATGTGGTTTAAATTGTAAAGTATCAGTTTGTGATTGATCGTCGTCATCATCATCTGTACCTTCTTCTGATGATGACTGACTAATCAAATCGATTTGTGCTAATGATTGTGACGGTCGACGTCGAAGACGAGTATTTTTTTTCTTCCTTTTGCGTTTTTTCTTTTTTTTCAGTTCACCATCAAGACCGGTGTTCAATACATGTTCAGTTTTTTCTCTTATTTCTTGCATACGTTCAATAGGAATCATATGATATGATTGTTGTTGTCCATTCATTAGTGATGAATCGATATCAGTGATTTTTGATCGTGGCATAGTAGAATTCTATAAATCAAAAAGTATTTGATACTAACATTTTCTAGAAATACCAATATTCTTACTTGATTCACGTCTTGTGTTTGTTGGTTTCTTACTCGAGCCGAAATGTTTTCGATATCATTTTTTTGCATTTTTGTCAACTGATCACGATATTCGGCTAATCGTGTTTCTTCGGCTGATGGTATAGCCACTGTAATCGGCATTGTGTTAGACTAACCAAATAAGAAATAAATATGTTGCTAAGATTGCTAGACAATATACAAGTATCTACTTACTCTTTGTGAAAAATTTGGATTAATATGTATTGTTTGACCAGCTGTTGATTCTGGTACTTTGGCTGTTACTGGCCAAGCAGGATCAATCTGATGTATTTTCGTATCGAGATTATACAATGCTAAATTACTAAAAAATGGTGTCCATGTTTGACGGAGTTTATACATAGCAGATCGAGTTCGTTCATCAACCTATACGATTAAAAACACAAAAATTATTTTGAATTCTAAATTTTATAATAAGAAACTCACTTTATTGAATGCATTCGCAAATACTTGTGGTAATCTTGTTTCAAATAATTGAACATAAGCTGATGTGCGAAGATTTTTAACAATTGAATCAAGAACATACAGAGCTGGTAACGTTTGATCAGCTACAGCCTAAATGAGTAAAACACAGTATGTTTCAAACAATATATGGAAATATTTAAGAAAATTGAGTACCTCGAATACTCGTTCTTCAATTGCTCGTACAATATCAGATGCACTACTGAGCTTTTCTTCCGCTAATATTGTTAACATATTAATCATTGGTTTACTATTAATTTTCAAATCATTTAGTGCACTTTTATAATCTTGATATTCTTCACTTCTCGTTGCTGTCATTGTTTGTATATAGATATAATAAAGTAAACAAAATCGTTTTGCACAAAAGACAAAGATAATAGATAAATTAGAAAATAAAAAATAACCTAAAAATAAACAAAAAAATTCCATAAAATTAAATTTGTTCTAGTTGCAACCATTAGTTAATATTGGATACATAGAGAAAACCTTTGTTGCTAATTGCAATTTGTGTAAACAAGCTGACAAATTATACAAGTAACAATTGTTTATGGATTCACAGAGGACAAACTGATCAATCAAATTAATTACGTAATCTTAAATTGTTATAGTAGTACATTGAAAACGGCTCTCTTTAAGCTAGAGAGCGTTCATGGGATGAATTAAAAGAGGAGAAAAATTATCAACAAACTCACTTTTCAATTATGTGATTTTATCTTGTTTTGGATGAACAAACAATTTTGTTATTGATAAATGCAGACATACAAGAGCTTGTTGACCTCTTCAATATATAAATAAATACTACACAAATAGCAAAATATCAGAGACAGGCCAATATACAACTTTGATCGACAGTTTGGATATCTAAAAATTGGCTAAATAACAAAAAATAGAACATGACATATTGAAAAGCCTACGAAAGAAAGTGTTAAGAAACATGAGATTCGATGAGTTGTTCCCACTAAATTATACAGAAACATGATCATATTACATACGGACTAATCACATATTTTGCAAATTTTATCTATAATCTCATCCTAACTGGAAATACGCAACATATAACTTGAAATTCCATAATTTGATAATTAACAAATAGTTTTAGGACATGGTAGTATTCAATGATTAACTAATTACGCAGAGCATATGACTGAATATCTTGTTTAAAAAGATAAAATGAATATTAAAGAAATAGAGAGATGAAATATTACAACCTGTTAATAACATACATATAGATATGTTAATATTAAAAGCTTGGCAAGATATTTATGACTTAGAATATTATTAAAACAATATAAATCTTTTCTCCCACAAGCCGTTATTAACGCGGACAAAAGCGCTGAGCTTAGAATTAGCTGAACTAGACAGATTGAAAAAAGAAACGTCAATAGAGACAACTCTAATTCACATAAAACAAAAAACTTTATCGATCTTTATTCAAAAGCAAACTAAAGTACAAAAAAGATATTGATAATACTTCAGATTCACTGTTTGTTTGTGTTTAGACAAATATGAAGTTTTACTCACAAAAGAAAAGTGAATAGTCTTAAAAAGATAACTTTTCAAGTTCACCATTTACATATATTTTAACAAAATCTGTCAGTAGAAGTCTCATTTGAGCTAAATAAATAATCTCCGTTATGAAACAATACTAGCTGCTGTCCACATAGTAACAGTTTTAAAAAAAAAATACAATAAATACATGAAAACGAGATAAACATGCCACAAATAGTATCGTTTAAGTTTGGTTATAAAAATATACACTGTTCGATATTTTGATGCCATATTTATTCCGACAATTATACAGGTAAAACATTGAGTATTTTGTTACATCGTTAAAAAGCAGTTGAAAAACGGTTTACTTACTTGCAATCAATTGATAATCGTGTTAATAACAAATATTGATAATAAACAATGATTTTTTAAAATAAACAAAAAAGCATAGATCTCTTTTATTTTAGAAAGTAAAATTCAGGATTTTATCAATAATATTAGCGAGATAAAGGAATAAAATATAAGAAAAACAAGATTATAACATTAGAGAATAATAATAACAAATAATAATAGAATAATATCGTTAAGTCCTATACTTTACAATACGATAGAAGAAGACATCACATATGCAAAAATTATGTTTTGACACTTTTTATTGATGCTATGAATCCACGTTTCATCATCATTATCACACGCATACACATTTGAAATGCATGTGACATATTGCTGTTTATTTTTTTAAAACAAGATTAAATCTCAATACGTTACGTTACGTAAAATCGAAAAAACAAAATTTAACAATACACTCAATAGTCTGAAAAATATATTTCCGTTTTCAACAACAATGCAAAAAACAAATATGACTTTTTCTTCTTTTTTTTTCATAATCTTATTTTTACTTTTTTTTTTTCTCAAAAAAAAACAAACAAACTACAATATCTTCAATCGTGTTATACAACTATTGTTTGTGTAAAAGTTATTTTTAAATAAGAAAATCATTTGCAATTGAATTATTAATGATAATAAATATTTTGGCGAACATTTATTTTGGATTTGTAGATACGCCATCATAGAAGTGGATTTTTTTGCAAATTCATGTCAATGTCATTCAAATTAATACCAATCATAAGCCAAAATCTAAATGATTAAAATAATAATCACAATCATTCTGTTAACTACTAACTGAAACTAATATTCAACAGTAGTCCAATCTCATTTTCAGATATGACAGTAGTTTTCTCTGCATTTTCTCTGAAGTATATACTTCAATTCATCATACGAGAAATAAGTCTTACTTTTTGCGTTTAATCATTCTTATGAGCATTGATTTCTGATTATTATATTTTCTAGTTCGACAGCTAAATATAAAAATAACATGAATAAAAATTTAATAAAAATTATTGAGATAAAAAGAAAAAACAAAAACATATCAATTACCTACTTGGAACTGTTTAAACAAGAATCAATGCTGACTATTTTAAATTTAACCCACTATGGGTTAATCTGTTATTTCGATATGAACTTGTGACTTAAGTCACATAGCGTGAACAGTTTTATGTCACATAAAAATAAATAAACAAAAAAATAGCGAATCTGAAATAATAACTTAAGAATTTAAAAAGATGAAATAATGTTCTGTATAACAGACATAGAAACATTAGACTGTCTATCTTCTGTCATCTCTTATACTAACGTATAAGAGAAAAACTATCGCATTTTATATGATTTCTCGTTCTCATATGACAAACAAAAATTCCTAAATGATTCATAATAAGAAATTTTATACAAAAAAAAATCACTGCTTTTTTTTCTTGTCTTCTTTCTGTTTCTGTTTGATAATATTTGTCATACGAAAAAGGAGTCATATATTGAGACTTATTTCCACGAACAGAGAAAAAGAACACGATAATTATGATTATGACAATGTGTGGTAATACACATTACAAAATATGAAAATAAAAACAGAAATTTCTTTTCATCTACCGGCAGTTTTACATTAAATGATATATCAATTTTCATTTTCTCTTGTGACATACAGTTTACCTTTTTACCACTAAGCGCGATGAATGAGTTCGAGAATATCTGGTTTTCTAGATTGATTATAATCGGTCATAGCGGTTTTAAAAGCATATAATTACGCATTAATTTTTTATGTTTTTATCATTTTTCATAACTTCCTATTACATTGTCATTCTCTATCATTTACTATTCTTTTTTTGCTTTTTCTTTACAACTATATATCTCAAAAGTATAATTATTATGTATTAAACTCATACCATAAACAAATATCTTTTGTCACGATTTAAAAAGCTACTGTTAAACATTGTTTTCAAAGAGTAAAATTATTCATTCTATCATGAAACTAATTAAGATTAATATTGAAACATTGATCACTATTTCTACTAAATCTATTAAAGATTATGAGATAAAATAAATTTAAAAAATAATAGATGAGTAGAAGTCATTCACATCAGAATCTCTTTGATATAGAATAATACTATAAACGATAAATATAATACTTGCCAGCGGTTGGTATTAGGAGCTTTCTTTCTGTTTTACTCCATAGATTACAAAAAAAAGTGTCATTCGACTCATCGCATTTTTTATTTGCTTCCACTGCCATTCGAAATTCTGTATTATGAAATAGAAAGGAAAAACACACTATAGAACATAATATCTCATATTGATCGTCTGACTTAAACTTCTATCAGTCGTTATCAGTTTTCTTTAGTCAACACTTGTCCTAGGATTTTCCGTTACCAAAGGAAGTCCATAAGGATTCTTCATTTTTTCAAAAAGTAGAGTGAATAATTCAAACTTTCTAAAAGAATCTGGGCTATTTATTTACCGGGTTTTTTGTTCCACTACATATTGTATACACAAGGAACACAAAACGTTTTTAAGATTTGTTCCTACTGATGAATTATCAGAGTACTGTCTCATATGCTATAAGATGAATGAAACATAAAAATTGTATTTGTAAGTACGACAGAACAAAGAAAAGAATATAGCATAGGCAATAATCGAACCTTAAGTTTAAGAAAACGGTGAAAATTCTTGTGACTTTATTGGAAAGTGTTGTGGCTAGGATAAATTATTCATGTCATTGCGTAATTACTAGAAGTAGACGAAACGATCTTGTGTTGCGAAATTTTGCGAGACAAAATGCGATGAGATGAAATTTATTCTTTCTTAACATATCGTTTGAAACTAATGACATCTCAATAATGAATTCCGGAACTACGGAGGATCTCTTATTTCTTTTTTTCATTTAGTTTTTGTGCTTTTGATCCGATAAGTGTTAAATAGATAGACGAAGATAGAATGACGACAATTTTTCTTTTAACAAGGTGACTGTAGAAAATATTTTTAATATACGAAACAAAACGAAAATAGTATGAAACAAAACGAGAAGTTCGTAAATCTCGTTTTATCCAATTTTACTAATTATACTGCTAGCATTTTTTGATATAGCTGTATTTAATAATAAATGAGTTTCCTGTAGTATTACTTATGATAAAACTCGATACACAATGGATCAAAATCGTCCGGTGATTACCATTGCATTATCATACTTTTTAATTCTTACCAACATGTCGAACAATGTAGCTTGTTCTAAAATGTTCAATTCATTGGATAAGTGAGAAAACGGCATAAATACATGTTTGACAAATAAGGCACGCCTTTTGTTTTTAGATATACTCGGGTGCTTCTCTACATAGAGAAGAAAAACAAAAATGAGATCTATGCTTTTAATTCATTCAAAATTTTTTTTCAAACTGTAGAAGAAAAATTACCATGAAGTATGAAGTCAATTAATAAAAAGAAAC